GAGCCGAAGGCAGTCGCTTAACCAACTGAGCCACCCAGGCGCCCCTACATTTGTTTTTCTTAAGCTTATTTTTAAACACTCAGTATGCAAACACTTTGGACAGCTTGATAAGACTCCAAAGTACAGTAATACAACTATTTCCCACTGCATCCCTCCTTAATTTAGGACTTGAAAGCCTGTGTTTTTCCTTGCCTTTATCTGCTTCCCTGATGTCTAGAGTTGCTGTCACTGTCCTCAGTGGCATTATTTAAGCTTCCACAAATACTCATCTCAACTGTGTAGAATGTAAAAACAAGGTCCCACATAGAATTCCTTATACTCAGTTCAGGGAGCTTGTCACACGTTCTCTAGCATCAGTAGCGTTTGAGAAATCTTCAGCATATTCACTGTGTCATAAATAACAGTGTGTATCATGTCCATCTGTCCCATAGTGTTTGTGGTAGTAATCCATAGGACTAGAACAGCATAATAAATAAAAGACAAATAAAAGAAAATAAAAGACATTCGGGCCCACAACTTGCTGTGTGTCCAAGGGCAAGCTCCTTCGCCTCTCTGTGTCTCAGAGTCTTCAGCTGGAACGGCACGGTGACAGTGGTGCCTGCCTCCAGGGGGTGTTTTGAGGCTAAGGAAGGAACGGGTGTGAGGGCATTTAGCACGGTGCCTGCCACATGTCAGCAGTCACATTCAGCAAAACGTTAGCTATGGTGGTATTTTTAGCCTCCATCCTCATTTCCTTTGTCCAGGATGAAATCGATTCTGCAGTAAAGATGTTGTTATCATTGAAAATGAGCTACAAAGCCGCCGTGGGCGAGGACTACAAGGCTGACTGCCCTCCAGGGAACCCGGCACTTGGGAGCAATAGTGGCCTGGATGCTGCAGAAGCTGAGGAGGATTTTGTGGACCCGTGGACAGTACAGACGAGCAGTGCCAAGGGCATCGACTATGACAAGCTCATTGGTATGTCCTGGGAGAAGCCCCAACTTATACAAGTGATTCCCTTGAGTTGATCCCATTGGTGTGTTTTTATTTTGAATTATAAACCCAGTCAAGCTTCAATGCCAAGAAAAAAAATAGATCCTAAAATCTTTTGGTCATGCAATACATTCCCAAAGGATTCTTTTTAACTAGAATACGATGTAAAACTTATTTTGAAATAACGATCTATAGTAGATAGCTTAGTAGAAGCTTTTTCCCCTTTTTTGAGCGATTGAGAACTTGAGGAAAGGTCTATTAGAATGGCATCTTTGCAGTCATTTAAATCACCTCTCACTTAATGGTTAAAGTCAGGAATGGATTACCTAAGAGATTCCAGTGATAGTGATTGTAGAGCTGAAAAGCTAGAAGTGACCTTAAGAAGGATGACTCCTCACAGGGGACAGGTGGCCACTGGCAAGCCCCTCCTCGTGGGGCTTCCTGCTCGGGGAATCCTTACTCTGAGATCACTGGTAATCACCAGTGAAGAGGCATTGCTGAAATGTTTTCATCAAAGTCAAAAGCCATTTTCCATAATTTTAAGTGTAGACCATCAATGAGGGAAAATTTGTTTTAAGACATGTTAATTCAATGCAACAGTTAAAGAATATTAAAATTACGGTGTCATTGTCCACAGATCATACCTTAATAAGCAACTGGGGGAGCGGAGGTGTGAAAAGTTGCTAGCCAGACTGAATTCTGGATATGTTTCCAATCAAAATCCAGTCCCAGACAAAACAGTGTTTTATTCTGTAATTAGTTTCCTGTTTGCTGGTTGTGATCTCAGCTGTCCTTGTGAAAGAAATATGACTTTGGGTTGAGAGAAGGGACTGGGAGCAGAAGGCCTAAAGAGTCTGGGTTCATTAAGATTGTACACAATACGCTAGTCTTTCCCCTTCAGTAATATCCGATCGCCAAACCTCACACCACCTAAGGTGGCCATATCTCCTTTGTTCCAATTTTTTTTTTCCCAGTTCGGTTCGGAAGCAGTAAAATCGACAAGGAGCTGGTAAACCGGATAGAGAGAGCCACGGGCCAGAAACCACACCGCTTCCTGCGCAGAGGCATCTTCTTCTCACACAGGTCAGAGGCTTCCTGCCCTCCTCTCCTTTGAATTCCAGACATGATTAGGGCGCTCTTCCCTCAAGCTGCCTGCTCCTGGGGGGACAGTGCTAGCCAATCATCTGAAGACTGGTGTCCACCTTCTGTCCATAACTGGCTGTGGGTTCATGCCCTGTCCCTTCACCCGCGGCCTTTACTTTACTCATTTATGAACTGTTCACTTCACAAAGAGGAGGTCACATACACAGCAGATGAGATTCAGGCCAGATTATGTGCTATAAATCATAAAATGTCATAAAGACAAAAGAGAAGAATATGTCCAAGTTCAACATTTCCCACGCGATAAGCAGTGGCTTCCTGAAGTTCTGTGCCCTGTTCCTGCTATTGTCCTGGCCCACTCATAAATCCTATCATCAAAAGAGAAACTAACAGAGCGTACCTGGAAGAGACTATCCCTACCCTAGACTGTAAATTCCATGCAGATAATAATCAGAAAATGGGCAGGTTCCAGAGTGTTCTTGCCTCACCCGCCCCACAGGTTAGCCCATTACACGGTCCGGAGTAGGGTTGTTCTGTCCTGCTTGCTCTGTACAGTTACAGGAGAGCACACACGGGACAGAACTCGGCAGCCTGCCGGAACACTTCAAGTTCCGTGTGCAGAAAACTCCAGACCCTGCTCAGCCCTCTTCCTGGACAGAATATCGTCAAAGTTTTTTATCTTAAGATTTAATTCACGTTTTTAAAGTATACAATTCACATTTTTAAAGTGGTCTTTAATATATTCATATGGTTGTGCAACCACTTACCACCACTGTCTAATTCCAGAACATTCACACTACGCCAGGAAGAAACCCTTGTCCCCATGAGCAGTCACTCCCCCATACCCCCCTCCACGCACCACCACCACTGGCAACCATTGTGTGTTCAAGGTTCCGCCATGTGGTGGCGTGTGTTCGTACTACCCTCCCTTTTATACCTGAATAGTGTTCCACTGAATAGATAGCGCCCCACTTTTTGTTTATCCATTCACCAGTTGCTGGGCATTTGGGTTATTCACTTTTTGGTTCTCAGTAATGCTCCTCTGAACATTTGTGTACAAGTTTCTGTGTGGACATGTGTTTTCATTTCTCTTGGTGGGAACAGAATTGCTGCATCGTAAGGTAGCTCTAGAATTTTCTGAGGAACTGCCAAACAGATGTCCACGGTGACTGTCATTTTGCATCCCCACCAACAATGCACAGACAAGGGTCCCAGGTCACACCCTCACCAACACTTACTATTTCCTACTTTGTGTTTGTTTTTTATAGCCATTCTAGTAGGTATGACTTGGTTATTCATTGTGTTTATATTTCCCTAATGACTCATGACATTGAACATCTTTTCATGTGCTCATTGGCTACTTTTATATATGCTTTTCCCTCCCACCTGCCGCCCCCACCTTATTTTTTTTTTTAAGACTTTACTTATTTATTTGAGAGGGAGAGTGAGTGAGCGCGAGAGAGAGCACAAGCAAGGGGAGCAACAGGGAGAAGGAGAAGCAGACTCCCCACTGACGTGGGGCTCAATCCCAGGACCCTGGGACCACGACCCGAGCCGAAGGCAGCCGCTCAGCCAACTACCACCCAGGCACCCTGCGCCTATTTTTTTTTTTTTAAGATTTATTTATTATTTGAGAGAGAGAGAGAGGGAGAGCAAACAGGTGGAGGAGCAGAGGGAAAGAGAGAGGGGGAAAGAGAATCTCAAGCAAACTCCCTGCTGAGTGTGGAGCCCAATGCAGGGCTCCATCCCAGGACCCTCAGGTCATGACCTGAGCTGAAACCAAGAGTCAGACACTTAACTGACTGAGCCACTCAAGGGCAGGGCCCTCCTGCCTATTTTTATATATTCTTTGGTGGAGAATATCTATTCTGATCTTTTACCTGCTTTTTAATTAAGTTGTTTGTTTTTTCATTATTAAGTTATAATCGTTCTTTATATGTTCACCAACCGGAAGCTCTCCAGACCACATCCTTTTGGTGTTTTATGGGGGCTTCATTACATAGGAATGATCATTAGTGATTAAGCTCAATCTCCTTTTGAGGGGATTGGGGCTGATAAGTACCAACCTCTAATTAAGGTTGGTTCCCCTGGCAACCAGTCTCCATCCTTAGGTTACTTAGGGACTTTCTAAAAGTCACCTTATTAACATAAACTCATGTGTGGTTGAAAGGGGCTTTGTTATATGAATGTCACATTCATGCCTCTTATCACTTAGGAAATTCCATGAATTTTAGGAGCTCTGTGACAAAGACCAAATATATATTTCTTATAAATCACAATTATCTCACTACTCTATAGAAATACAACTGACTTTTGTCTGTTGATCCTATATCCTGCAGCTTTACTTCATTTATTAGCCCTAGTAGGTTTTTTTCTTTTTTTGAGGATTCTATAGAATTTTCTATATGTAGAATCATGTCACCTAAGAATGAAGATAATTTTACTCCTTCCTTTCCAATTTGGATTTCTTTTTTCTTGCCTAATTGCTCTGGCTGGAACTTCTAGTACAGTGTTAAATAGGAGTGGTAAGAGTGGGCATCCTTGTCTTATTCCTGATCTAGGGGAAAGTCACTCTTCCACCATTAGCTATGGGTTTTCCATAAATGCCCTTCATTATGCTAAGGAAGTTTCCTTTTCTTCTTAGTTCATTGAGTATTTTTTATCATGAAAGGTGTTGGATTTTGTCAAAATCTTTTTCTGCATCTGTTAAGATAATCATGTGGTTTTTGTCTTCTGTTAATTTAATACAGCATATCACATTGATGCATTTTTGTATGTTGAACCAACTTTGCAAGCCTGGGACAAACCCCACTTGGTCATGGTGTATCATCCTTTTTATATGTTGCTGGATTTGGTCTGTGAATTGCTGAGGATGTTTGTGTCTATATTCATAAGGGTCTATAGTTTTCTGTTGATGTCTTTGCTTGGGGTGTCAGGATAATCCTGGCCTCAGAATGAGTTTGCAATATTCCCTCTTCAGTTTTTTTGGAAGGGTTTGTGAAGGATTGTTAAAAAAAAATTTTTTTTTTAAGATTATCCATTAAATTGAGAGATGGAGAGAGCGCGAGCCGGGGGGAGGAGCAGAGGGAGAGGGACAAGCAGATTCCCCGCTGAGCCTGACGAGGGACCCAACCCCAGGACCCCAAGATCATGACCTAAGCCAAAATCAAGTCAGATGCTTAACCGACTGTGCCACCAAGGCACCCCTGTTAATTGTTTTCTAATATTTGATAGAATTCATCATGAAGCCATCTGGTCCCAGGCTTTTCTTTGTGGGTCATTTTTTGAGTACTACTTCAGTTTCTTTGCTTGTTATAGATCCATTCAGATTTTCTTTTTCTTTTGGAGTCGGTTTGCTAGTTGTTTCTCTCCAGGAATTGGTCTTTTTCATCAAGGTTATCTAATACGTGGGCATACACTTGTTCTTAGTATTCCCTTGTAATCCTTTTTATTCCTGTAAAATCAGTAGTAATGTTCCTTTTTCATTCTTGACTTTGGTAGAGTCTTCACTGTTTTTTTCCCTCTTGGTCACTTTAGCTCAAGTTTACCAATTTTGTTGATCTTAAATCAAAACTTTTTATCTTGGGGCGCCTAGATGACTCAGTTAAGCATCTGCCTTCAGCTCAGGTCATGATCTCAGGGTTCTGGGATCCAGCCCCGCATCGGGCTTCCCGCTTAGCAGGGAGTCTGCTTATCCCCTCTCCTTCTGCCCCTCCCCCTGCTCCTTCTCTCTCACTCTCTCTTTCTCAAATAAATAAAATCTTTAAAAAAAAATTTTTTTTAATCTTAGCACTTTGCAGTTCTTGTTGCCCGTGTGCCTTACTTTATTTACTTCAGTATAGTAACCCTGTAGGCTCTTGGCTTAGGGCATCATAGGACTTGCAGCTTTTGGCCATTCTCAGATTTGAGAATGCCCATCTGTCTAATTTTATCATCTGTAAAGTAGGGAATCAGATGGGCTTTGAGTAGGCTCCCTCACCTGCTGGAAACCATCCTCACAAAGCTGAGCTCAGAGAGCGAGCCTCAGTCCATTCCCTGCACTGCTTGAGAGCACCTTGCCCCCAGGGCAACGCATGGTGGGGCTGTCAGAGACTTGAAGAACAGCTTGTGGGACAGCTGCATTTTTTTCTTTCCTATAAACCCGTAAAAGTTTGATTTGGTTAATTTTGAGAACCAAAGAAGGGCTTTTTTCTTCCAAAATTAAGGTTTTTTTATTCTTTCCTTATTTCAAAAGCAGTGTATGATTGGTCCCCGGAGGTAAAAAAAAAAAAAAAAAAAGCTCAACACAAAGAAACAATTCCCATAATCCCATGAGCCCGGAGAGGAGCACTGTTAACCCTTGGTTTGGGGTATGAGGAGGAGTCACTTTTTAGAGTACTCGTGTGGGGTCTCCTACCCAGACCCCTGGGAAAGGTCCTCTTTTACTTTGGGACACTTTGTGGAGAAACAAAGAACATTTACACCCTAGAGTAGTGGTTTCACACCCTGGTGAACATTGCGATCCCTGAGGGAGCTTTTTAAAAATACAGATTCCCAGACATCACGCCAGACCCACTGAATCAGAATCTCTGAAGGTGGGACCCAGGTAGATGTAATATGACCAGGAAGGATGCTTCATGTGCATCATCCGTGGACCCCAGTCCTTGGGGAAGGCAGATGAGTCCAGAATGACTCCCAGCTGAAGACACTTGGTCCCAGCCTGGCTGAGGAAGCCCAAATGAGATTTTCAGCTAGGGACTTCCCCTCCACACTCCCAGGAGGTCTTCCTCACTCCCCTCCCTGAGTCAGGACTGTGTGGAACCCTGCAGTCTCCCCAGTCTGGGTCTCCAGAGTCTCGGGGCTAGGGCTTCTGACCAAGGATTGTGTAGTGTTGGCTTGGTGTCGTTCCCAGGAAAGGTGTACAGCAGATGGTGTGTGGACGTTGGTATTTGAAGTTCCCTAAGGGGTTCCATTGGCTGCTCAGCCATATCCCTCTTTTATTCCAGACCTGCGTGTCTTATACTTTTAAAACAATCACGGGAGAGAGAAATCATGTCAGTAGAAGTTTCCTGTCATTTTTCTCATATGGGCACCAAGGGTAACAAACTCTAATCATTGTGTTGTGTTTTCTCTGTCTTCTCCAAGTGATCAGTAGTGCCTTAGTGTTTGTCTCAGAAAATCACACCATTTCCTTTTTTCCTTTGTCCTTTAGAGATATGAACCAAATTCTTGATGCCTATGAAAATAAGAAGCCATTTTATCTGTATACGGGCAGGGGCCCCTCTTCCGAAGCAATGCATGTAGGTCACCTCATCCCATTTATTTTCACAAAGTAAGTATTGAATTGTATGCCTTTTCTCCCTTTTATTAGCGAATCAGGAATGTTGCTTATAAACTATGTCAGAATGACAAGACAGTCCTCGTTTGTGTTTGTTAAACAACGTATGCGGGGACTGGTGCCGTTGTGGCTTGTTCACTCTGTTCCCGGTGTCACGTTAGAAAGTGTGGCGTGATGGAGCGAGCCCAGCTTTGGAGTCAGCCAGCCCGTTTCCTCCTGTCCCGCTCCCCGTGACCGTAGCAGTCCCTCCCGGAGCCTTCATTTACACGTACCCTAAAACCATCACCAGCATGCAAAATAGCAGCTCCACAGCATAAGACTGTGTGATTGTGTAGACAAGAAAGGTTTGACATACACTCTCAGTAGGAACCGTGTGTTCGGATGCAGAACGGGAGATGGGACGGCAGCCTTCTTCCCATGCATCTCCTAGGTGGCTGCAGGATGTGTTCAATGTGCCGTTGGTCATCCAGATGACGGATGATGAGAAGTACCTGTGGAAAGACCTGACCCTGGACCAGGCCTATGGCTATGCCGTGGAGAACGCCAAGGACATCATTGCCTGCGGCTTTGACATCAACAAGACTTTCATCTTCTCTGACCTCGACTACATGGGGTAAGGAGAGGGTGCCCGGCTGCCTTCTAGAGAAGCAGATGGAGACAGCAGCTCCTCGCGGCCACAGCCAAGTCAGACACATCTGAAATGGTCTTAAGATCTGGGGAATGTTTTCCTTCCTTTATGAAACTTCAGGATATGGTTTCTTGGTCTTGCTCACCAGCTGAGGCTTCCATCCCCAGCTTGAGACAGAATTGTAGTTTCTCTCCAAGGACAGTCAGTTTGCTGGGTTAGGGTCTTTCTCTTTCTTGGCGTGCCTTTTTCCTCGAAGAGAAAAGACTCACACACAGTCCCCTCACGATCCAGTTCTTTCAGAAATACTGCATTCGGAAAATCCTTGTATTGAAACTTTTTTTTTTTCCAGATTTTATTTATTTGTCAGAGAGAGAAATAGAGAGTGAGCATAAGCGGGGGGGAGTGGCAGGCACAGGGAGAAGCAGACTCCCCGCTGAGCAGGGGGCCCGATGCGGGACTCGATTCCAGGACCCTGAGATCATGACCTGAGCCGAAGGCAGACGCTTAACCGTCTGAGCCACCCAGGTGCCCCTGAATTGAAACTTCTGAGGTCTTCTGCATCCCAAATGACTACCAAGAACTGTGTTAGAAAAATAAGACTCGGTCAAGTGTCCCAGTAAGAAATACTCAGCAAGTACTTCCGGAGCACCTGAGAGGTAGTGCTCCCCACAAGGCACTGGCAGCCCCCAAGGAATGGTAGGCGTGTGGCCCCTGTCCCTGAGGGTCCGTTATACTAGCCCAGGACAGGGTGTGGTAGAAGCACAGGATGGACTGTGTTCACGCTGAGTGCAGAGGTGCTTGCTTATTACCATTTCTCCAGAATGTGCCCTTGAGGACTACATCCGAGTGGTGACTTTATATCCACAGAAATAGTTGCCTTGATAAGAAGTCTGGCCTTTCCACCAACTAGTAAATGAATTCATAACTTTCTAATTTTACCTGTGAGATTTTTAAAATCACTTCTCTGTGGGCATGGAGGCATTGTGGTGTCCTTGAGGAAACATGAGCTTCGAAGGAAGGAAACAGACCCGGGTTCGAGCCCTGGCACCTCTGTTTAATGGTCATGAGTCTCAGCAAACCTGGTCCACGAAATAGGGTTACATGAGATCTTAGGTGTCACCATTATTATAATTTTCACAGTGCTTTATTTTATACCTCTTCCCCTCATTCCTTAAAAGGACCTGATTCACCTGCTCGAGCGCTTAGCCACACCCTGCGTCCTGCTGCTCTTCTTAGCGCCAGGCCGGGGTGGCAGCTGCCCAGTCACCGCATCCTCGGGTGCTGCCTCTTGCCTCCCATGGCAGCCCCTCACGGCCTTGGTCCCCCAGCAGCCAGCACTCTCCGTAAAGCTCTCTTGTCGCTCCCCACCCCACGCCTCTTCCACTCTGTCATCATCAGGATGAAGTGCTCACTTTCCAATTAGCTCACGGGCCCCTCAGGGATTTGGCCCGTGTTACTCTCCAGCATCAGTCACTGCCACCTCCAGCGAGGTGGGACACTCCGCAGTTCCACAGCCCCCAGAGTTCCCACCCCTCTCCTGACCTCCCTGTCCCAGCGCAGAGGAGTCTGATGCCATCTCCAAACGCACGGGCAAGCATCACCTCCTCCTGGGAGCTGTCCCTCCCACAGTCCGATTCAGATGTGCCCCCCAGCACCCCAGGCTCCACCTCGGCCGCACCTGGTACAGGGTGAGGGGTGGCCCTGTTCTGCTGGGTGAGTAAAACAAATAGTCACGGAGCACTCTCTGTGGCTGATGCCCTCCTAGGCCCTGAGAACCCAGCAGTGACCCAAGCGGAGTCCCTGCCTTGCTGGACCGAGGTGCTGGTGGGGCAGAAGCAAACACCTCCTGTATCCTCAAGGATGAACACGTGGTAGGCACATGAAGGGGGGTGAACTTTTGAACAGTGCACGTGAGGGGGCCACCGCATGCCCCACCCCGCTCTCGGCACATTTTGAGAGAACGTGGGGCCCAAGGCGACTTGCCCAGCCTGTCGGCTGACCGCACTTGGGCGTCCTCCACTTGGCTCAGAGGAACTTCCTTTTTCTTCGTGAACTCGAGGTAGAGCTGAAAACCCACACAACGTGTAACTCAAAGAGTCTGTGCTGCTGCTTCTCGGAAAGACCTCGTAGGTTGAACCTAAAGTCAGGAGAGAAGTTTTAAAAGTTAAACCCTGTTTTCAAATGTCTTATTCCCTTTAAGAGTTTTTTGTGTTTTTTTTAACAAGTTGAGCTTTTTTTTTTTTTTTTTTCCCCTTGAAATTGAACTCAAAATCCAGAGCTTTGATTTAACAAAGCTCCTTCCTGGTCTTCAGGAGCTGAAACTACAACCAAGCCAGCCTCCACCCTCTCTTTGGGTGGGAGCGAACTGGCGAGGGCCCCGCGGGGAAAGAAGCCCAATGCAGGCAAGCTGGCTCCAGACACCCTGTCCCCGCGTATATTTCTGGCCCTGCGTGTAGGCCCAGAGAGGCCTTTCTGCCAGGAGCCGTGAGGGATGGAAAGACACTGCACTGGGAATCTGAGAGCTGGTGTTCCAGACCCAGCTCTGCTCCTGGTTGGTGTGGTTTCTTTGGGCAAGCCCTTACATCCTCTGAGCCTCCGTTATCCTGTAAGTCGGGGGTTTCGTACTAGTGAGAGGCAGTCTAGCGAAGGGGTCTGTCAGCGTGCTCTGCCTGGGCTCACATCCTGACCACCATTTGCTCTGTGATGGGCGCCTGAGTTACTTGCTCTCTGCCTGCTTGCTCAGCCGGCTCATTCATGCGGTAGGTATTCCTTGAGCATTCCAGGGAGCACCCGTGTCGGGAGCACTTTGCATGTTGCCGGGTCCCTGGCATGTCCTCTCTCTTTAACACACTCCCCACCCCCACCCCTGACCAGTGCCCTGGGACCAAGTGAAAGTCGCTGTCTCCCCAGTCCCTCTCCTGCTCCTGAGTGGGACTCTGCTCAACTCGGTACAACCCCTGGTGCGGGGCCTTTGCAGTCCTCCCTGCCTCGTGGCTGCCCCCCAGCCAGGCAGCCAGGGCCCCTGCATTTCTCACACCCCAGCCCGGCCCCCGCCGTCTGCCCGGAGACATTCAGGAGCTCTCCATCCAGGGAGAGACATCTTAAACTCTTTCAGAAGCTGCGAGATGTGGTGAGGAAAGCATAGGCATTGTGGCCAGACGAGCCTGGGTTTGGATCCCAGCTTGTGTAATCACTGGGATCTGTGACATGACCCTTAACCTCTCAAAGCCTCGGTCTTTACCAGGAAAGGAGAGGTGAGGCTACTACTTTGAAGGGGACTTGAGTGGTGTTAACCTGTGTCCGGCACTTAGCACAGCTCCTGCTACATAACGTGAACACATAGTAAACATTAGCTCTCCCGTTTTTTCCCGTTCCGTCTTTGTGGGGCCTGACACCTGGTATGGTGGAGAGTAGAGTTGCTGAGCATATTAGATGCCGTGTAAGAAGTCCCTCTGGGTTCTGCCCCCTCCTGTAATTGCTTCATCCTCAGCCTGGGTCCCTCTGGTAGCAGAATGGCTGCCACAGCTCCAGGCCTCATATCCACATGCCTCACCATCCAGGAGAGAGCATAGGTTGCTTGAAGCAGCCACTGTGGCCCAGCCCTGTTGCTGGGCATGGGGTCATCCCACCCAGACAGCATGGCTGCCGACAGTGGACGGGGCCGTGGTGGCTGGACCGGTTGGTTTCTCTGCAGACAGTCTCTGGCAGCAAGGTGCAGACAGTCTCCCACAACACAGAACAGAGTCTGTCTCACAGGAAAGCGCCTCGGGGCTCCCAGGCTGGAAGCTGTGCAGCACACTTGACCGCTGACCCGGGCAGAGTTTCAGTGCTCCACATCACCCCCTGACTCTGAACGTGTTGTGCTCTTGCCTTGTCCTCCCGTCCTCTGGCGTCGGTCTCACACAGCTTTCCACATTTCTCTGGCAGCTCCGCCCAGCCTGCCGCAGCTCTCTTTACCTACAGATGCCCCTGGGCACCATGCTGCCCAGTGTGTGTCCTCAGCCCACACCTGCATGCTCAGGCTTCACCATCTGCGGCTTTGGCCTCAGCGGAAGGCCGCCCTCTGAACCTGCGGTTTCATTCTGATTGTCTTTGCAGGATGAGCCCAGGCTTCTACAAGAACGTGGTGAAGATTCAGAAGCACGTTACCTTCAACCAAGTGAAGGGCATTTTCGGTTTCACTGACAGTGACTCCATCGGTAAGGAGCTCGCTGCGGCCTCTCCGGTGGCAGCATCGGCCCCTCACCTCCCCACAGTGAGCCCACGGGCAGGTCTCCCCAGGAGCCGGAGGAGCTGGTGCGATGCCTGTGGCCCCGCTTCTGGGCCTCGGGGCTGCACTTCAGGCGACCGTCTGTCACCCCTCAGTCACCCACTGAGAGGCCTAGAAGAAAGGAGGAGAAGGGTGGGGATGACTAGAGTTCCCCTGCCCGTGTGGGCACCTCTGGTCGAGGCCAGGAGCCTCCGCTTCCCCCGTAGGAGGACGGGCTTGCCCAGAGGCCCCATGGAGCCCACCCTGCCCACCCTCACTGTCCTTCCATGGCTCGGCCCCCTGCACTCACACTCGTGTCCCTTTCCACATAGTTCCATGCCCGTCAGATGCACTGGCCTTCTCCTTCTAGACCCTTAGCTCCTGAAGCTAAGAATTGATCCCTGAGACTTGTGGGTCTCCTGATCCCCTCCCCTACTTCGTTTCTGGGGCACAGCTCCAGGCCAAGCAGCCGCGAGCCCGGGCCAGCATCCCAGGGTGTGCCTGCAGGTGCCGTGTGGGAGAGTTTATCCTGCTGGGAGGGGGCCATGGCCCGGGGCCCTGGTGGTGAGGGGACCTTCAGGGACAAGTGCAGAAACGCCATGGAGAGGCCTCACTGGGAGGCTTTTCACATGAGCAAGACCCTTTTCTTTAATGTTCCAGTCAGATGCATTCCTGACAATTGGGGCATAAACCCTGTGCTTTTGAAAGGGTATTTATCCTCGGAATGCCAGCATCTCATGGGAGGATGTCCCAGGGAAGGCGGCACTGGGCGAGTAGGAGACAGTAGACCTACGACTAGCTGTGCACACTGTGCTGCCAGGCGCCCGGGTTTGAATCCTGGCCCGGCCAGCTGCTTGCTGGGTATTAGCTTTGGCGGGCTGTGCCGACGGTCTGAGCCTGCAAGTGCACGTTGGTAATGGGGGGCCACGTGGCACTGTTAGGTCGAGTTGTGAGCAGTAGACGAGCCCGGGGAAGGCCCCGAGCATAGCCCGGCGCCCGCAGGCAGGGAATGGCCGCCCCTGCCGTGTGTGTGTGTGTGTGTGTGTGTGTGTGTGTGTGTGTGTACGTACACGTACACCCGGCGCTGGTGGTGGCGGCAGCGTGAGTGTGCCCACGCGGCACAGCTGGCGGGGGCTGGCCCGGACCACTTGTCGGAGGTCACACAAGGTCAGGGCCCTTGGACCCCTTGTGTGGATCTAAGCAGATAGCAGTAGCAGTGTTAACAGCAACATCCAAGGTATTGAGAGCAGTTTTAGGTACCAGGGTGTCTTAACCTGTAATGATTAAAGGTGAGGAACAGTCTACGTGTCCATGGGTAGAGACTGCCTAAACACTGCCCAACACGCTTATGGGATAGAACATACTTAACGACCACCCAAGTGACGGAAAATGTAAGGAGAAAAACTGCGTAGTGTGCAGTCACCACAGAAATGCGGTGGGAAATTGAGAAAACGTGAAAAGAGATGCACACTGGGACTGTAGATTTGTCTCTCCTCCCTACTCTTCTGTGGTTTCAGGTTCTCTTGAGTGATGATCACTTTTCTAAAGGGGAGAATGCTTGTTCATGTTCATCCCTTTTGCTGGCTGAATTAACCAGAACAGGAGTCGATGTCGTGTGTAAAAATATATTGTTCACACTTTCAGGGAAGATCAGCTTTCCTGCCATCCAGGCTGCTCCCTCCTTCAGCAACTCATTCCCTCAGATCTTCCGAGACAGGGCAGACATCCAGTGCCTCATCCCCTGTGCCATCGACCAGGTCAGGAGGCAGAGCGAGGTGTTTATCGGTCTGGGGCGCTGCACTCTGATGGGAAAGGAGGTTTTAAGAGGTGTTGGGCCGGGGCAATCCTGTAAGCTACTTGGGAGCTGGGAGCACCCCATGGAGGCCGCGGAGGTATTGTTCACGGGCTGACAGCCAGCCCATTTCTGCCAGCTTCCTCAGAGGCCCCTCTCGCCCCACAGGATCCTTACTTCAGGATGACGAGAGACGTCGCCCCCAGGATCGGCTACCCTAAGCCAGCCCTGCTGCACTCCACTTTCTTCCCCGCCCTGCAGGGGGCCCAGACCAAGATGAGTGCCAGCGACCCCAACTCCTCCATCTTCCTCACGGACACCGCCAAGCAGATCAAGACCAAGGTGAGCACCGTCCAGGGCGGAGGGGCAGCCTGTGCACACAGAGCAGACGCGCCTGAGACACACACACACTCACACTCACACTCACACTCGCAGGCACGCGCACGCATGGCAGGACTGTCCTTCCAGCGTCCTCCGCCACAGCGCTGGGTTCCAGGGTCAGTAACTGCTGCTACCTGCGACCTCGAGGCGGCCTGTCCCTGTTGCCGACACCAGATGAACTTGTTCTGTCTGTGCCCTTTTATTTAGGCAAAACTTTGAATATTTCTTCTCTTTTTTTCTTTTCTGCTTTTCTCACCAGTGCTCTGCTCTGGAAGCAAAGTCGTGGCAGTTTTCTTTTTTTTTTCTTTTTTTTCTTCTTTAAGATTTTATCTATTTATTTGAAAGAGAGTGAGAGCGAGAGAGAGAGCATGAGTGGAAGAAGGGGCAGGGGGAGAGGGAGAAGCAGGCTCCCCACTGAGCAGGGAGCCTTACGCTCAGGGCTCAATCCCAGGAACCTGAGATCATGACCTGAGCTGAAGGCAGCCGCTTCACGGACAGCCGCCCAAGCGCCCCATGCGGTTTTCTTTAAAGTAAATGATAGAACATATTCTAGTACCTTTCCAAGCAGCAGCCGTAGTCCAGCAGGTGGACCAGGTGCTTTATGTTTTCTGGCTTTATTTCTCCCGGGGAAATAGCAATGAGTGCCTTTAGAGGGATGACAGCCAGAGAGGATGACCAGTTTGGCCAGGGTGGGGCGTAGGGGCCGTATGTTCTCATGGAGACTGGGAACCGGTGGGGGCCCTTCAACAGGACAGTCGTGTCCATCCCATCATGCAGCAGGCATCAGCAAGTATTTGTCAAGTCACCAAAGAAATGAGAATTAGGAATCTGAGCTTTTTTCTTTCCCAGGGCCCTGCTTCTCTCTCTGGGCTGAATTGCCAATATAGATACACCCCCCTCACTGTCCCACGAAGCTGTTGACATTTTATTTGGAATCCAGTGTGTGTTTGCGGGTGGGAAGTTTATAGCAGGAGTGACCAGATCCGTATCTGAGGCATGTAATGCAACCCTCTGAGTCACCACTGGCCCCCAGCCCTTCCAGACTCCCTAGCGGGTTCTGGTTAACAATGGGGAAACCCTTAATGTCCAAACCCTCTTCCAGGAAATAGCCACCGCCAACTCTATCAGCCTCTGTTGGAAGCTGGTATATTCAGGGCTTTTTCTTGCCTTTTCAGTACTGGCTGAAAGTTTTAAAGCGTGGAGTACAGAAGTGGGAGGGAGGGTCCTCTTCTCTCCAGAAGAGAAGGCATTTTGCTTGGTTTTTTAGTTTTAGTGCATTTAGTACATCGTTTTAAAGAAGTCATTTTTGGGTCCAAGGCATTTTTCATTCACTTAGGGACCAGCAAAGGCCCTGAGGGCTGGGTGGGCAGTGAGCGTGAGGTCAGGAAGCACACAGCTGCAGAGGCCCCGAGGGTTGTGAGCGGCCTGTGGGGCAGGACAAGGTCAGGCCAGGCCGTCGTTCTCGGTCCCCACACCCACCTTCCATTCCAGAACCCACCTCCACCCCAGCCAGGGGCGGGGATCTGCTCCAGCGCCCCTGAGAATAGCAGTAGCCGTGCGGGGCACACAGCAGCTTGGTTGCGTCATCTCCTGCCACGTGCTCACCCGTGTGATCTCACTGAGTCCTACCAACCACCCGGGAGGCCATGGTCATCTTGTAGGCAAGGAAATCCAGACTCAGAGGGACCAGGCAGCTTCCTACGTCCACACAGCTGGGGAGTGGTGGGGTTGGGACCAGAACCCAGCTCCCCCGTTGCGCGGGCCCTCCCGTGGCCTAGAGTCGGGAACCCCAGGTTGTCCGTGTCCTGCCGCTTCGCTGTCATTGGCGGGTGACCTTGCCGTCCAGCTGAGACATCTGTGAAGTCGGAGCGGCTGTGCTGACTTCATAGGCTTGAGACAAGGCGTACGTGGGATCACGTGCAAAAAGTGTGAACTGTCAAGCGCAGCCCAGATTTAAGACTTTAGTTCCAAATGAAGAGTTGGTGAGCTCCTTTGCAGGATAGGCCAAAACAGGCCTTCCCCAGGCTGTCCCACGGGCCCTGCCAGAGCCCGCCAAATCAGTCCCTCCTGCAGGCAGCCTTGGAGTGTGGAACCTCCTCTTCTGGGACGACTGTCTGTAACGCACTTTGCCAGCCTGGCCGCCCACTTGTGATTTCTGATCACGAGACCCCTTTAACATTAACCCTGTAGTGCGCCCGCCCAGAGCTGGCCTCAGGCTCCAGGGCCGCGGCTCAGTGGCCCCGCACAGGCCCTCCCGCCCTGCGGGCTTGGAGCAGGCAGGGCGCACTGGTTCTTGGAGTGTGGCGGCTGAAGAAGGCCCCCATGGCCTCAGCCGAGACACCCTCGCCAGGCATAGTTTCCTTTTACAGCACATCACTGGTTTGGGTACATCTCACTTGCTTCTGTCATTTTGGATCCTGACCCCTGCATTCTGGTCCCCACGACCAAGGCTGTTCTCCACCCCAGCCCAAGCCCGTTTTCCCGTTGGTTTCCCGTGAGCACAGCCCCGGCCGCACCGAGGCCCGGCCAGTCCCAACACCAGGCAAACGTAAGCCACTGTCAGAAGCCTGGCGTCCCAGGAACGGTCAGCCTGGCTCTGCCATTCACTGCCACATACGGCAGGTTTTCACCTGGGAGGTGGAGAAAGCAATACAGGGTCATTGGGTTGTTGGGGATCAAATGGTGCGATCGTGGTGACGTCCACCGTTCGTGGCACATGTGCGTGCCATCATGGGACGCGGGCCTGCCCAGGGAGGAGTGCGTGGGTGGCCGCAGCACCCGTGCGTCTTGGAAAACGTGCAGCAGACACACCTTTCCTCATCTTGCTCTCAGACGAGGATTGGGAACTGTCCCAAGGCCCTTGGATAGCCTTTAAACCAGCCCTTGGAGCCTGGGAAGCTCTGTTCTCAAGACTTTCTTCCTGGCACTGGAGTGCCTTCCCTGGGGCCCATCAGTGACCTGGCTTGGACTGCGAGTCTGAGCACAGGCAGAGGCCATGCGGGCAGGAGCCGCCCCGCTGCGCCATCAAACCCCCAGCGCCTGCCCGAGGGCACCAGAGCTCAGGAGAACCCAGTCCTAGTGCTTTCTTTTCCTGTTTGTTTTGTCGTTTCCATGGTTGGTGCAGTTTGCTGACGTTGATGTTATTTTACAACTTGCTCTTTTTTTATGAAGGAGAGGGAAGATGAACACGTATTTGCCTTTAATCCGCCCACTCCCAGCACTTCCCCTTCACGCGGTGGGGGGGGGGGGGGGGTAGGGCAGAGCAGGTGCTGCTCCCCACGGCCGGACAGCCTCTGCCCCCGGTGTCCGCCTGCTGCTTGTCCATGGGCCCCGGAGCATCCTGTTAGTAATCTGCCCTGTGGTCCTGGGGAGGAGGAGTAAGCATCTCAACCTAGGAACCATCAGCTCTACCCACCCTTTCCCCCGGGAAAGAAAAATAGGGTGACATTTGTACATAGTGGGTCGCACATGCTGGTGGGAAGGTTGAGGAGACTTTGTCCTTTCTGGCTTTTCTTCTCTCGCTTTTTGGCCCTGATTTCTCCAAGATTATCTTCAGTGATTCCAAAAACCGTTGTGCTAGTTTCTGAGTCTTTTTTCAGCTCCGGAAACTGCGTATTTGTAGGTGGGGCTGGCTGCAGGCGCTGTCTCCCTCCGCGTGTCTCCTGGCTCTGCTCCCCCCTTCGAGCCCCATTCTTGTGGCCCCCATACCCCTTCCACAGCGGAGAAGGTGGCAGCGCCCTTCCCGGGTTGGCTGTCTTACTCGAAGGTGCTTGTGTCCATCCCTCACCTACGGACACTTCCCCCACGTTTCAGCACGGGCAGCGCTTTGGCTTTCCCAGCTCTGTGCTGTGTTTTGTGGGGGTGGGGGGTTGAGAGCTAACCTACCCTCCTCTCCCCCCTCTCTTCAGTTGGCCTCACTGGGGACCCGGGCTTGACGGACAGTCTGGAGCGATTTGTGGGGCTCCTCCCCACCCCGACTGTGAGCCCCAGCCCCCCTGCCCTGGGACCTGACGGGGCAGAAGGCAGCCCCCAGCCCCAGTGCCACCCGCGGCTCCCAGCCACTTTCCCCACGCGGGGTGGCCCGACCCGACCAGCGTCCTGTGCTCTTGCCGCCGCAGGTCAACAAGCACGCGTTTTCTGGGGGCAGAGACACCGTCGAGGAACATAGGCAGTTCGGGGGCAACTGTGACGTGGACGTGTCCTTCATGTACCTGACCTTCTTCCTCGAGGACGATGACAAGCTCGAGCAGATCAGGAAGGTGAGCCCACAGGCTGCAGGGTCCAGCCGGCCCCCGGTGCTCTCACACGGGACGTGGGGGGCCTGGCAGCCGGGCTTAGGGTGGCCGGAGCCCCTCAGGGCTGGGCCTTGGGGAGCAGGCCCTCAGCTGAGACGAGGTGAAAACTGAGGAGGTCCACTGCCCTTAGCCATGCGCCAAGAAGCCTGGTGACAGATAGTCCGCAGAGGAAAGCACACACTGCAGTGTGGTAGTGACCCACCGCGGCCTCCCCTTCCTGGACACCACGGACCAGTAAAGTCGAACAGGACCGAGTCAGGTGCAGACAGTGCCCCACCGAGTTAGCGGGGCTTCGAGGCTCACCCAGGTGAGGCAAGGGTCTTGGCACGGCCTCTCGGCAGCAGTTGGGTGAGAAGTCGGAAGAGCCCGAACAGTACCTGTAGCCTTTGCCTCGGGTTTTCCAGTCCTCAGAATCTTTTCCACGGAAGTAATTCTGACCAAGAAAGAAGTCTCCGTACAAACATGTTTAAAGCTGATTGTGGCGAAAAGTCCAGAACAGACTGTACAGCACGGGATGCTGACGAGGAGCTGCCAGGGCGGGCGGGCGGGCGGCCGTGGAGCTCGGAGCGGGGGGCAGTGAGTGGCAAGTCGTGGCATGTTAAGAAAGCGTTGTTTAAGGTGCAGGGTCCTTGGACTTCTGGGCGCCACCCCTGCGCTGGGCTCTGCATGGGGGCTGCAGGCGGGGCTGGCGCCCAGAGGCGTGCGGTGCCCAGGCAGGAGGAGCTGCTTGTCACTGTGGTCTGTCTCCTTCCGGGCAGGATTACACCAGCGGCGACATGCTCACCGGTGAGCTCAAGAAGACGCTCATCGAGGTTCTGCAGCCCTTGATCGCCGAGCACCAGGCCAGGCGCAAGGAGGTCACAGACGAGATAGTGAAAGAGTTCATGACTCCCCGGAAGCTGTCCTACGACTTCCAGTAACTCCTTTTATATGCGCTTATAAAGAGATGTAATTTACCAATAATTCCAGCCCAATCAAATCCGCACCACCTGTAGGCTCTGTCACACGGTAATTACTGGCCTGGTATTTGGAAGCCCTGTGTGTGTGTGTACTGTTTTTCCCCATCCTCCTTTCTGTCTCTTGGGGGCAAAACCCTTGGGGTGAATGGGTGCCGGCTAATGTTTCACGGTCCAACAGTCCAGCTGGAGTCTCTCCCACAGAGCAGCCCCCACGTGTGGGACCTTGGGCTGCACGTCCACGGGCCGGCCTGTCCAGTCCACAGGACAGCTGCTGCCGTTCCCCACACCCTGGGAAAGAGTATGGAGTCTGTCTGCATACCTGGAATCAGAACAGCAGTAGCATAAATTAAAGCGTGCTTTGAAAAGTCTACGTGGGAAAGTTTAATGAGCACAGATGTATTTCAGCCCGTGTCCAAAAAAATTTAAAAGAATTGTCAGCTGAAAGCTTTGCTCTACGTTTGGCTAAGAGAGCTCGCAGCTTGAAAGCTGCTTTTCACGTTGAATATTGGCCCAAGTTGGCCGAGTTTTATTAAATTGAGTCTTCTGTGGGCGAGAGTCCGGTTCACTTAGCACACTCCAGACCATGCATGCACCGCACTCCAGAAATCATGCTTTTTCCTGAGCGTACTAATACTTCCTTCCACCAAATAATCCTTGACACTCCGCCCTGAAAGCCAATGGCCGCTTCACGCTGCGTGTGCCGGATGCTGAGGGGTCTGTTGTCTTTGCAGATGCTTTTGTTTTGACACTTGACTGCCGTGGAAGTCTGTCTGCACAGAGCAGTGCCCTGGGGCAGGTGGACGTAGCTAGAGAGCGCGTGGCAGCCCTCAAGGCCCTGAGCGGCACGTCCACGGGAGGCCTGGTTAACCGTGCACCCTGTGTAGTTTGGAAAAGTGGAAGACCTATCTCAGGGAAGGCCCTGGGTTGAGGGGTCTGTGCTTTCTGGAGGTGTAGGGTCCACTCCCTCATGTCACTCGTTGGCGTGAATAAACTTCCTTCGGTCCTGCCTTGTCACTGTGCTCTGTCTGGGGTTCGAGGAGGGAGCAAACCTGTTCCAGGCCCAGGGAGGGGTGCTGCACCTGCTGCCGAGCGCTGCGGCCCCTGCGAGGGTGGCCCTCGTGTCCACAGGGTCACCGGGGGGTGACGTGGAGTGGAGAGGCAGCCTGGAAGCCCCTGTGGCCCCGAGATGAGAGGCAGGCTCCCAGGAATCCTTAGCCAGTGTCCTGCTGCTGGCCCTCAGACCTCATGGGACGCCTCCAGCCGCCCAGCAGGGATGTCTCGGCACGAGCAGCCGTCCTCCGCGCACACGGGCTGGGCTGAAGCTGAGCCACCCGGCCGCCTGAGGCCCAGGGCACAGGCCCTGCCAGGATGGAGCCCCGGGCTCCCTCTACCCGCCCAACCTCACTTGCAGGTGCGGATATTGAGGCTTAAGAGAGGGCAGTGTCACTTGTCCAAGGCCACACACCGAGTTTGTGACAGAGCCTGCCTCTTATTTGCTGTGTCCACATAGAGGGACCGTCTCACAAATGAGGGTCCCACCCTGGGAGCTGCTGGGGTACCAGCGTGCAGGACAAACTCACCCGTCTCCTCCCCTGGCCTCGACACCCCCTGGCCAGAGTACCCAGCCCCGCCCGCCTGGCTGGCTGTGGTCTCCACGGCTACATGCCGTCTTGTCGCTCCCTTGCACCCATAATCACAGGTGCACTGAGTGGCTAAAACGAGGGGTCTTATGTGACGTCCCCAGGGCGGCAGAGCACCAGGGCGGGAGTGCGCATCACCGTCGGGACTGCTCCTCCACACGGGCTGCGACTTCGGGCAGGCCACCCAACCTCTGGGGACCCCCAGCCCTGCCCCTCTAGGAGAAGAACAACCGTACCTCATGCTGGGGTCTTGGGAGCAGTACCCTGGGTCAGAGGTCAGGTGCCTCCCCCAGTGGTCACTGCTGGTAAGGGCCACAGCCGCTTCCACCCCCACATTTTTCTAAAACAGGTTTAAGGGGATCCCCCAGGTTAGGATGGACAGGTGCAATAGCCCGGCAGGTGTTGGCAGGAGGTCAGGTCGCAGCTCCTGTGGCGTGGGGACTCCTGCCAGAGGAGCTCCTGGCTGTGGGGATCGCAGCTGAGCCGGGGCCAGGGACAGGGCACAGTGGGGAGCTGGGAGCAGGGAGCACACAGTCCAGGATGAGAACAAAGAAGGGGGCTCCCTGCCATCCGACAGGTGCAGCTCTCCCAGGGAGTTCTGTGCCCCTTGGCCCTTCCCAGGGGCCCGTGATTCTCCCGTCGGCTGTGGGAACCCTGGGGACACCACCCTTTATCGCCCACTTGAAATTTCAGGTGCAGCCTGGACTTCGTTAAGGCGGCCAAGGTTGATGGGAAGACACAGCTGGGCCTTCCTTCTCTTGCCCGTTTCTAAAAGAGGGGGTTGGGTCGGCCCTCCAAAGGACCTTGTCACCTAGAGAGCACAAGGCCCTGGGACCAGGCCTTCCTGCAAAGCCATTTGGCCAACGTGGGCGGGGCCATCGGCTCGGTGACTGAGTCCCCACGCTCCCCAGCTGTGACTGGCAGGGCTGAGTTACTGCCAGTAACTCTCTTCCCAAGGCCCAAGCAAATGGGTACTAGTGCTCTTCTTGCCAAATGGACATGGGGTCCAGGGTTTTGATGAATTACCAACCTTTTGTTAGCTGGTACCCTTTTCCTAGCACCTGGCTAGAACGCTAGCATCCTTCACTTGAAGCTGGATGAACGTCCTGGAATCTAGGGCAGGACTTCCTTCATTCCACACCCCCTGAGCACCTACTGTGTGCCAGGCCCTGTGCTGGATAGAGTCCAAATCAGACATGTGGGTGGAGTGGGGTGTCAGGGGTCGGGGGCAGATGAGTGACCAAAACAAGGAGCCAGGGCCCCGTGGGAGCCTAATAAGCAGCCTAGTGGTCAGGCTGGGAGAGCTTCCTGAAGGAGGTGATGCCTGGGATGCAGACTCAGCCAGGCAGAGGAGGGGAAGGGTGTTTCTGGTGGAGAGCACTGAGCGTAAGGAAATACTTGGGTCAGTATGACAGGAGCGGACTGGGACGGGAGGGTCCGCCCATGTGTTCTGGGAAAGTTTCCAGAACACAAGAGGTCTCGGTCCAAAGACATGGTCAAGGCTAGTGTCTGTGAGTGAGGAAAATCGAGGCAGGTGTTGGCCGGCTTTACCTGAGCTCCAGCCCCTGATGGTCCCCCGTGCCTGGAAGTCGTGTGGTGCCAACAAGAGGACTTCAGAAATGCAGGTGCGAGTCTCCCCCCCCACCACCACCACCACCGTCATCCCTGCCACAGTGGGCAGGCCCAGTTCCCTCTCTGAGCTGTTTGCTCACCTGGTGTCAACCTGTTGTGATGACCCGTGTAAGGGACCTGGCACCCAGCAGTGTTCAGGATACACCACCCTCCCTCCCTCCCTCCTGCAGGCCAAATGTCCGGCAACACGGGCCAGGGCAGCTGGCTGGAACCCAGGTTCGCTCAGACAGGGCTGGGTTTGGGATGTGGGTGGTGAGGAGAGCAAGCCTCATGCTGAAGGCTGAGTGGCTTCCCGTGGCAGGGTTCAGCGCCCCAAAGGCCGAGGGAGTGGAGCCAGCCAGAGTGCTGGGCCTCAGTGTGCCCATCTGCATAGTGGGAACACTGGCCACACAGGTCTGGAGGGCTGGGCCTCTGAGGATAAGCTGATCGCCCACCCCACAGACCACGGAGCAGCACCACTGAGCATGCTCAAAGACGCTTTATTGTCAACAGCTCCCCGCTGAGTCTCGGGGATCTCCCAGCCGGGCAAGGGCGTGAGCAGGTCTGGGAGCACGCTGGCCATGGCCGTCCGGTCAGTGCCCTCTCTGAGCAGCCTGGCGCAGGGGAGCGAGCGGGCCGGTGCCCAGGAGCTCACTAAGCAGCCGAGGAGAGCTGAGCGGGGGGTCGGGGGGGCCTGGCAGGGAGGGCGGCCGAGGGACTGGATGGAGGCGCAGGGGTGCTCTGAAGATGCGGGCGGGCGGCAGGGAGGGGTGACAGGGAAGCTGGAACTCCAACGACATGCTCAAATGACTCCGTGTGATGGATGTCCTCATCCAAGAGGCCCACTCCTCCCTGGCTCGTGTGACCCTCAGGCCACCCCCAGGCTGATGGCAGATGGCCCCTCCACCTCCTTGTGGTCCGTAGCCGGGCAGGCGAAGCCCCGAGCATGGCTGACTCGGGGTTCGGGGAGGCTGGGGCGGTCCTGGGCAGCGGCTCCGTGGGGTCCAGACCCCGACGCTCTCCTGCGCCCCCTGCAGCCACGAGGACCTCGGGAAGCTGCCGATGGGTCGGCCCCTGGGGCGTCGGGACTGGCTACGTGGACAGGCCCCGGATGAGCCTCAGCACGGCTTCGTAGGCGACAAAGACCACCATGTTGACGGGGAAGGCGCGGCAGCAGTTGAGCGTCAGCCCCTTGAAGAGGACCCGCGGCCCCTCCTCCCGCACGCTGGTCACCACGCAGTGCAGAAGGCCCCGGTAGCGCCGCTGGCCCTGCCCGTCCGCCTGCAGGCGTGACTTGATCACGTCCATGGGGGTGGCCACGGTCCAGGCCAGGACCCCGGCGCAGCCCCCGGCCACCAGCACGCCCAAGACATCTGCAGGGAGAGAGCCGCGAGCGCCTCAGCCGCACGCCAGCCGGGGACACAGAGGAGGCCAAGCGGGGGCCCCCGGAATGGAGCCCGGGGCGCGCACCACCGATGTGACCTGTACAAAGCCACACGGCGGGTCCGTCCCGACTCCCCGTGCGCTGGGCACGGACGTTCCCACCCCGGGAGGCTCCGTGGCGCCCGGACCTGGCACGACCGCATCCACGCCTGCTCCCCCGGCCCCGCTCGCCCGGCCCCGGGGCCCTGCTCACCTGGCTGGCTGTGGCCAGTGGGGGTGAGCTGCTCGCAGAGGATGGCGTAGGACAGGAAGTAGGTGGCGAAGGAGTGGCCGTCCCGGAAGAGCAGGGCCGAGCTGCCCTTGTAGAGGCCCCGCAGCCCCTCCTCACGGGCCACCGTGGCCAGACAGTGCAGTGGCCCTCGGTACTTGGGCCCGGGCACCGAGCACGCAGGGGGCGCCGGACACATGGGGGGCGCAGCCGAGGGCCACGAGGCCGAGGGGCGCCGCTGTTGGGTCTGCGTCTGCGTCTGCAGGCGGACCTTGGCCACCTCAGTGGGTGAGGTGAGGAACACCTGCCGCGGAAGGAGCAGGGGTAAGAGGGCGCCGCCCCTTGGCCTTGGCCTCCTGTGGCCCCGGGCTGGCCCACCTGTCCCGGTGCAGCAGAGTTCACAGCTGGTGCTTGCTTCTGCCGCGCAGGCCGCGGGCACGGAGCGGGCCCGGCACACCAGAGGTGTTGGGTAAGTGTCTGTGACTCGGGTTCGTGGGAGTATTTATCACATAATTAGTATGGGAATGACATCCATGTACTATGTGATTAATATAAGTACTTCGTGTAAGAATAGTACAATACTAAATGCATTTAATAACATGACTAAGTAACATAATATCACCAATAATACTGGCTGCCATTCTGTGGGTGCTGACGGGGGGCTCTGCACTCATAACCTTACTGGGTCTTCGCCACGCCTCTTACGAATGAAGAGACAGAAGCTCCGAGAGGCTCCCTAGCTTGCCCAAGGTCACTCAGCTAACGAGAACCAGCTGGGCCCTCAGCCACAGCCCCCTGGCCCTCCTCCAGTCTCTGCCCTGCCCCAAGCCTCCATGTCCCCCTCTGCAGGGCTGGGTGGCCTCTTGGGCGGCTCTCTCGGCCCCTCCCGACCCCGCAGTCCTGAGGCCCCCCCGCCCCCCACCCCACTCACGCGGACCAGGCCAGAAGCAAATCCTGACAGCGTGATGTCGGGCTTGGCAGGCTTGGCCTCGGGGCTGCCGTAGCGAAATCGGCAGATGTGCGCCAGGCAGTGGTGGTAGGTCCCGAAAGACACGGACGAGACCAGGGACACGGTGCACACGGGCAGCGACAGGCCTCGGTAGAAGCCCCGCACCTGGCGGGCGGACAGACGGGACCCGAGGGCCCGAGTCAGGCCAGAGGCCCAGCCGGGAAGGGGGCCGCCCAGAGGGGCCCTGGGCCGAGGGGGCTGGTAAGTATCCCCGAGTCCCTCCTCTGGACTGCTCTCTCAGCTGGACGCTGGGGACACCTCACAGCTCCACCCAGCACGGCTTTCAAGGGATGCCCAGCCTGGAGGGGATAGAAATGCAAACACTCGGGGTACCCCTCTGACCCTCAAAGGCCCCGGATGCCACCTGTGGACCCTCTCCTGAAGGTAGGACCTCATTCTGAGCCCCTCCTATGTGCCAGATGCCTGGCTCTCGTCCTCAGAGAAACCCAGCAGGTTGGTACAATCATTGCCATTTGGAAGGTGACAGAGCTGAGCTCAGATGGCTTCAGCACCCCCTGGCTGGTTGGGAGTGGCAGGCCTGGGGTCTGAGGCCCTGACATACTCCTGCCCATTTCCCTGGGCCCCAGCCTACCCGCTCTTGGTGGTATGTGTCCCAGACGCAGTGCCAGATGCCCCTGTACTTGGGCTCTGTCTGGATCTTGACCTGTGAGAGAAGCAGACTTCAGGAAGAGGTGGCTCCAGGCCAACGGCAAGGTCAGTAGGCCTGGGGGAGGGGACGAGCCAACGCCTTGAAGGTCATGTGCGTGCTGACTGTGGGCAGAGCAGGGATCAGGAGCCCCATGTAAGACAAGAAACCTGAGGCACAGATGAGAAGAGGGGCTGACATAGTCCTGAGGAGTGTGGGGAGGGCTGGTCTGATTAGCAGGCCAGAAAGGTCTCTGGCCACAGGTGGATGCAGGAGACTCAGAGGGCAGCCTAATCCCAGCCAGGGGCCTTTGGATGGACGGCGGAGGCCTGCCTCTTGCCGTACCTTCACCGTGTCCAGGGGGTAGCCCACAGCCACACCGCAGACACCTGGAAGGAAATCAGAAGGACCAGGTGAGGAGGCGGAGTAACCTGATCCCGTCTCACAGCAGGAGGCAGGGCTGAACCCCACCAGCTCCCGCTGAGAATAGACCCACACTTCTTGTCCACACCGTGTCTCATCAACCCTGAGTGTGCTGATGCAGAGAAGGAAACTGAGGCTCAGCCAAGCTGCTAGCAGTTTCTCCTTCCGCGTCTTGGCCCAGCCATGCCTTGTTCCGAAAGCCAGGGACGCATTTTGGGAGAGCCTCTTGCTGGGCCCTGCCTCCAAGCCAGGCAGCTCTTGTCCTCAAGCCTGTGAAGGGTCTGTCTGCCTTTCAGCTGCCGGGTGTGTGTGTGGAGAGGCACAGACCCAATGAAGGCCATGAGGTGGGAAAGCCCAGGTCACCCAGGGCTCTGTGAAGGACGGCCTAGCTCTCCCTGCAAAGGGCCAGGTGCCATCATCCTGTTCCTTTCTCCTTTCCTGACACCAGAGCCTCAATGTCCAAGCCCCCAGCACTGCCCTGGGGAAGCCAGAGAGCCACACAGCCCTGGGGTTACATACCCCAGGGGTGAGGGGTGCTGAGGGCCACCTGAGGACAACAAGGCACTTGGGGGCTCTGCCCTATTTACTGGGCATCCCAGGACTCAGTAAGTGTGCATGAATGAATGAACGAGTGAGTGAATGAACAAAGGACTGACTGAATGACTTGATTAGAATTACCCTCCTTGACCCTCACAGAGACCTCACCAAACTCCTACTCATCCATCAAAGCCCTGCCACAGCATCACCCCCTCTCTGGAGCCCTCCCTGACCCCTATATCTGGGCTGCCTCTGTGCCAGAAAACATATTGATCGGAGCGCGGGTCACGTGGTTTTGCTTCTGTCCCACGCATGCCATGTCTGTCCTCCACAAGGACAAGGACAAGGTCTTCAAGAGCCCTTCCTAGCTTTGTGATCTTGGCCAAGTCAAGCCCCTTCTCTGAGCCTCCTCCTTAGGGGGCTAACACGCAGGGAAGCAGCTGGCCTCGGGCCTGGGGCAGAGTCAGACCTCAGAAAGGTCCCCGGGGAGGCCAGGGCTCCAGCCTGCCCTGGGTCAGCACTGCCCTCCCCTCCTGAGGGAGGAGGACATCCCAGCCATTCCCAGAAGTATCGACCAGCACCCACGACTATTTCACAAGACCGGCAAGGCTAAATGTGACTCGCCCAAATTAGGCTCCCAGCCTGCAGGATCGAGGGATGGGGGAAGCCCGTCCCCCGCCTGTTTGCCAACGGGCTAGTTATCTCTCTGGATTTGTCTTTTGCAACCAGCCCTTTCCCCAGAAGGGAAAATAGTTTGGGAGGCCAGCAGGCTGGGACAGCAGACAGACAGCCAGCGGGTGTGGCCAGGGCTCAGCAGGGCCTCTCCCCCTCCCTGCCCACCCCCTGCAGTCCGTGTTTAGGGACCCAGGCCTGTTTGTCCTCGCTGCCCACCCTCCCCCAGCCTCTTGTTCCTTCCCACAGCTCAGCCATCCCTCTCCACACTGACGGCCCAGGCAGAGACCAGCCTCTGCCCCCGCAGCCCTCCCCCCGACCCCTGCCTGGGGCCCCCAGGCTGAGCGGGCCAGGCCAACGCGGACTCACCTCCCCCTGTGCCTCCTCCCAGCACCTGCAGCCCTCACTGGGGCCTGACCACTTCCGGGGCCCCTCATGGCCCATTGCGTGGGAGGGCTACTGCCCCCCGTGCCCCCCGGGTCCCTGTCTGTTACCTCCGATGGCTCCAGCCACAAAATCCATGGACAACACGGCGGTGGGGAAGGCCCTGGGGTCTGCCTGCCTGACAGCAGTCTGCCACCACCAGGGTGGCCTCGGCAACAGCTCGTCAGCTCCTCGCCAACCTTAAATAGCTGGGGCCGGGGGAGGGACAGGAGACGGGAGCCTGTGGACCAGTGGCCTCGAAGGCAGAGGCCGTGCGGGGCAATGCCCAAACCCAGGCACTGGGCAGCTGGACTCCCTCCCACCCACCCCCCAAAGGACCCTTGTCCCAGTGCCCTTGGGACCCAGGGGTCAGGGAATTATGTGAGAGGCCACGGGAGGTGGCGGGCTCACTGTCCACCCAGGTGCGGACACCTCCGGGGAGGTCCGGGGATGGGGCTGAGGTACCCCTGTCCCTCCAAGCCTTCATGGTGTCCTCGGGCCTCCCCAGGAGCCCTCGAAGCTCCATCCTATTCGCTTGAACACCATCCGAGCTGGGGCTGAGCTGAGGCTGCACGGAGGCGGGTAAGACCCAGTCCCTGTCCTCAGGAGGCTCCAGCTGGCAGGAGGGAGTGGGGGCAAGCACGAGCAGGCTGCATGAGCCCCCCTTATCCCCCCACCCCACGAGCAAACACTGGTCACAGCCCAGCGTCTGCTCCATGCCCTGCACACTGCCCTGGCCCCACACTGTCCATGTGCACCCACATCTGTCTCCCACTCCCCGGGCCCCGCCGGGTCTGCCTCTGCTCAGCCCCCAGTGCCCAGCACTGACCAAGCCCTGAGGGGCCCACTGCTAGGAAACCAGGGGCCAGGGCTGCTGATCAGGCCTCTCACGAAGCCAGGGTTCTCCTGAAGGGAAAGCAGTGCTGACGGTCCCATTTTACAGATGGAGCCACTGAGGCCCAAAGAGGGGATTTGTCTGAGGCCGCACAGGTGGCAGGGCTGGATGTGATCGCCAGACACTCTGGAACAACCAGCCCCTCTCTGATGCCGAGGGCCAGGCCCTGACGCCCATGAGCTTTGTCCCCATGGCCATCACCCAGTGGGCCCTCCCAGGGGCTCAGCACATGCTCCCACATGACCCACACAGCAGTGCTGCGAGGTGGCCATGGGGGCACTCAGGCTTAAGGAAGCCGTGCACTTGCCCAGGGCCACACAAAGTGAGAGTCCTGCTGGCCAGAAAGCTGGCAGGACCGGGGTAGAGGGGCACAGGGTTCGGACTGCCTCGTCCAGGTGGCCCTCGGGTCAGGGACTGTGTGTCTACCTGTTTTCTGTGTTCTGACATGTGGACGCAGGCCGGCCTTGAACACGCTGGGTGCTGATGGAGGGGCAGCCCCCTCCCCGCCTGCCCAGCCAATACAGGGTGAAGGGGAGACGGGCTGGCAGAGGCGGCTGCCATGTCAGAGGGCGAAGGGCAGGATGATGCCCTGCCTGGCCTTTAGAGAGACACAGCTCAGCGTCTACTTGGGAGCCAGGCTGTTTGCATCCAAAGATTTTATTTATTTATTTGTCAGAGAGAGAGCAAGCACAAGCAGGGGGAGCGGCAGGGAGAGGGAGAAGCAGGCTCCCCGCCGAGCAGGGAGCCCGACGCGGGGCTCGATCCCAGGACCCCGGGATCATGACCCGAGCTGAAGGCAGACGCTTAACGGCTGAGCCACCCAGGCGC